AGGCTGATTCCTGAGACAGTAAAGGAAAAGTTACTCACCCTACAGACCCCACGACCAAAACAGGAAGCCCAGACCTAGTTGGACTCTTTGGGGATAGGAGATAATATGTGCCACATCCAGATACTTTGTTGAGCCCTGGGTACTAATTGACCAGAAAATCTGCCTAATTTACCTGTGGGTTGGGTAGCAGGTGTGCTAGAGGTAGTCTCCAGGCTACCTACCCTGGGGCCCTGTAAATCCCAAGGATCTTGGTGAAATCTGGTCTCCGAGTCTGAGAACTTCGCTGAGTGGAGCCTCTGGCAAAGGGAAGCAGCCTCTGCCCAGTCACCCCTTAGGGTATCAACTTCTTGCAGATGTGGCTCTCAGCTCTACTCCACTTGAGACACAGATGCTGGCCTGCTCTTGGGCCCTTGTGGAGACCAAGTGGTTTAGAGAGGACTGCCAGGTATCACTGTGTCCAGGTATCCCCACCCTGCATTGATCCCCTCAGATGCTAAAGATAGAGGTGGAAAGGCAAATAGATTTCTCATAAAAAATGGAAATGGAACAATCCAGAACACCAAGTCTGGTCCCACAGATGAGTACTCTTTACACAGTAAGGTTGAGGCCATATCCTTAGGGACCCATTGTATTTCCCTTAATTAATCACAGGGACAGCCTTTGTCTACTTGGAGATGGCTCCCAGGAAGCCCTGAGGATGCTCGGGTCTGGTTTTCTGAAGGTTCATTCCAACTAAAAGCTGATGGAGTCCACTAGGTGACAGCAGCCTTCAGCCCCAGTGACAGCACTAGAGGACCTACAGTGGTAGGAGCCCACGAGCAACTTGGCTAAATTGAAAGCTATCACCGTTGTCTTAGACAATACTCCTAAGGACAAGGCATCCCATTTGTCACCTGTTTTGGGGTTCTGGCTAGGAACCTAGCTAGTGGTTGACAATGAGAAGTATATTAAAGACACTTCTCTGTGGAGCTGTGCACTCTGGGAAGACTCTGCTGCAATCTGACGAAACATTTTTTGTACCCAATGTGAATGCTCATGGGAAGGGGCATGCCCAGATGAGACTGAATGGAACAATGTGGCTGATCAGGCCTGCACAGCCCAGGTGGCCAGCATCAGTACCTCCGTCCATTATTGGACTGGGTACAGTAATCCTGCCACTAACACAGTGGACAGTAAAGTTGGGCCTCCATCTGTATGTCAAGGAGACTGAGATGGCCTAACAGGACTATGGTACCTGTCAGCAGTTGATCTGTCTGAAGGTGAACAAAGACCCCTAGGTCTAGGATCAGACCTCGTCCATTTCTGGCATATGGAACACACTTGTCCTCTACTGCCATCATGTGGCTACTTCTGGCATCTCTTGGCTTTTGCCACTTTACCCCTTAACTAGAGTTGACAATCTGTGCGAGTGGCAGATTTTGACTACCCCATAGTAGCACTAGAGATCAGGCTCTGCCATATTTCTGGACATCTCAATCATTTATGGTCCTATGCTGCTACACCGTTCATAGCAAAGGGGTCCTGACAGTGGGTTAATGAACATGACATTCAACAGGCATTTCATCCCCTTCTCATTCTCACACTGGTGGCATCATCAAGAGGTGGAAGGAATTTAAAAGACTTGACTGGGAAAGATTTCTGGATAGACTGTGTTATCAGCATTGTGCACTACCCACATAGCCAGACAGTGTGAGCACTAATGCAGCTGGACCTCAGTGGGAGTGTAACAATGGCTGCCCACTTCTGTGTCTGCACTTCTGTGATTAGAAGCAGCAATCAGCGATCAGAACACAGATCTCCAATATCTGAAGGACAGGGTCCTTATTGTCCGTCCTGGCACTCAAAGTTTGTGTATAAGCTACTCCAGGAACATATGCACAGGTGCCTGACATCAGACTAGGGTGAATGATGGGTAAGGGCTGCAGAGCTAAGTGTTGAAATTGACTAAATTAACTACAATTTACCATCCAAGACTTCCCCTGGAATTTGCAAGCCTTCAATAGACTTCAGAGTTCCAAAATAGTTGAATCAGACAGATTCTGCCAGTGCAATTGTTGTCTAGGTGCAAAGACAGATTCTGATGCTTCCTCCTCTGCCATCCTCCCTTTCCTTTCCTTTTTCAACTGAATGGAGATGCGTCCTCATGACATCTCATGGGTAGGTTGACTGGCCTTGCTTGAACCCCAGTGACAAAAAGTTCACTGCCTCACAGAGAAACTTGATCTGCAATTTATTGGAAGCTGACTGGGCAGGTGACATTGGCTCTCCTTTATTGAGTCCTACTCAGTGCCAGGCATCATGCTGACCATCACACCCACCCAATGAGGTGGGTGCAATCCCCTCCCCATTTAACTGAGAGGGGAATTAGGCTTAGGGAGCTTGTGTTGCTTCTCAAGGGAGAACCACATTTGAACCAAGGTCTTCTGAGTCCGATGTCCCTCCATACTGCCTTTAAAGGGCTGTAAGGAATCAAAGGAACTTAAGACATGGGCTTTGTGCACGAGTGTTTGAGATCTCGTTGGGAGAGAGAGTAATGAAATAAATGTTCATTTAGAAGAGGACAGGGAAGTGGTGGGAGTCAGGCATCTGACCTAGGGATGATAGCAGTAGCTCAGAAAAGAATTGAGGGCATGCAGGAGCCCCTACATGGGGAAGACAGGAGTGGAGAGGGGCATTTCAGATTGACGGTGGGCTTCGGGCCTGGTGATTAGCTCTGTAAAACTCCCCCATGGACATATTCTCAGGACTGGCTCCACCTTCTCCCTTTTCTTGGATGGCAGTTGCAGAGGCACAGATGGCTTTGCCAACAATCTATAGTTTGCAATCGGGCTTAGCCACATTTCTTAGGCAAATTATTTTCTAAGACCTTTGCCTTTAGGGTGATTTGAAATATTGTTTGGCTAATTTTACTGTGCTTCGAACTCATCTGGAAAGCTTGTTAAAATACACATTTGTGTGCCTCACCCTCACAGACACTGGTTCAGTATGTCTGGGGTGGGGTCTAAGAATTAGCATTTCAGGAGCTCCCCAGTGATCCAGATGCTTCTGGTCCTCAGGCCACACTTTGAGTAGCACTGATTTACATTGCATTTCATCATTAGAAAATATTACACAGCTATACAGTGGCATTAGTTTGAAATGTTGTTAGGAAATGGTCTGTGTTGAAACTCACCCTAGCCCGTGATGTGTGTGTACGGAGAGCCAAGAGCTGGAGAATCGGGGGATCTGGATCCTCTTCTGGCCCAAACACGTACGAGTTGTGTGATGTTGGATGACTCACCTCTCAAGCTTCAGGCCACTTAGTTTATAATTAGGAATAAAACTGCTGACCTCATAGGGATGTGGTGAGGATTAGAAGAGGGAACAAGCAAAAGGCACAGAGCCCTTATAAGAAACAGATTTGATAAGTATGTCATAGTAGATGCTTGATGTATATGTACTTTTTAGAAACTCAACTGCAGCAAATCTCCCCTGACCCCACTGCCCTACAGCCATCTGTGTTGTCTCATACCCTCGTGAAACGTGTCGTCTTGGTTTCCACCACTGGTGCTGAGGTGGGACCAATCTGTTAGCTCACCTCTCCCCTATGCGGTGTCTTGCACAGTGCTCGAGACATAGTAGATCATAAATATTTGTTAGGTGTGAATGCCTTTAGAGGCTGTTAGTAGTTCTCAACCCAGGTTGCACATGAGAATTACCTGGCATATATCCCAGAAATTCTGATTTAATTAATCTAGGGCAGTATTTGTCAACCTTGTCTGTACATTTGAATCACCTGAGTAAATTTAAAAATCCACATGCTCAAGCCACATCCCTAACCAACTACATCAGAATCCCTGGGGTGGAACCCAAGCATCAGTATTTTTAAAAAGTTTCCCTAAGTGAATCTGCTGTGTAGCAGGGGCTGGGCATCACTGAGTTAGACTGAGAGACAATTTATGTACACAGGCAATGGATGGTTAACATGTTCTCAGGTAAAGACAAACACAAAATTAAGGGGGGGTGGGTGAGTCACTATTTTGCATATATCTAATAAAATTTTTTATTTTCTGTCCTTTCCGACTTTGTTAATTTAATTCAATTTCTGTGTGTATAGTGTTGCTCTCTTTCCAGTTCACTTTTCTAACTTGTTGGCTACTTGCTATTGCTGTTGGATGACTGTGTTGGGTTGAACAGTGTCCCCTCAAAATTCATGTCCACCTAGAACCTGTGAATGTTTGGAAATAGATTTTTTGCAGATGTGATGAAATTAAGATGAGGTCATTCTTGATTAGGATGGGCCCTGATCCAATAACTGGTGTCATAAGAAGAAGGACATTTGGACACAGACACACAAAGGAAAACTCCATGTGAAGACAGAGGCAGAGATTGGAGTGATAAATCTACAAGCCAGGGAATGCCATGGATTGCCAGCGATCGTCAGCATCTAGGAGAGAGGCATGGAACAGTTTCCCTCAGGCCCTCGAGGAGGAACCAACTCTGCTGACATGTTGATTTCAGACTTCCAGCCTCCACAACTGCGAGAGAATACCTTTCTGTTGCTTTAAGCCACCTAGTTTGTGAAATTTGTTATAGCAGCCCTAACAAAATAGTACAGTAACTTAACTGATATCTATAGTATCTAGGTATATTTTTCAATAAGAAGATTAGAATCATATATCTGAAATCATTCTTTTATTGTTCACACACATATCTGCCATCTGCTGAACTTTGTCTAACTACAAGTCTAAGTTCTTATGCAATAAAATGTGACAAAATTTATGTCTTGTTCCAAAGGGTAAACTGGAAATTAATGAATGTGTTACATATTTAAACTTTCTTAGAAGGTTCAGATGATTAAAGCAAAACTTGTAAAGATAAAAAATGGGTGTGCCTACTCTTCACTCTTGGGCCCATGAGTCCGCGTTCCATATGATGTCAAGGAACTCTGTAAACTCCTGAAGGGAAAGTTTCTTTTCCAATATTTGGAGATGCTGCGGATCAAGAACTCGTGCTGTTGGATCTGTTTAAAAACTTTTTTCATACAGTCGGGGTGAACTGATGTCTACGAAAACCAACATTACCATTTTCCATACTGAAACAAAAATAAATATATCAAAATCACCATGTCATCTCTAAGACGAAGTATTTACATCATGGATTACAAAGACAATGTAATGAGAAGTATCTGACAATTTGTTAAATCTACAAAGAAAGTTAAAGGTATATCTACATTTTGCTCCCTTTCAAAACCAAATACTGAAACAACCATTTTATTTATTAATAAATTTAACACATAAAATTTTCATTAATTCAACAAGTATTTCTTCAGCACCCTCCACGTGTCAGCCCTCATTTCAAGTGGCATCAGCATTTATTTTTATCTGGGCATATCTGTTGTTGCTATGTAATTTTAAGATGTTATAAATTTAGTTAAAAAAGTTTGTCATATAATAATAAAGGCCTCCCCAGTCCCATCTTATGAATAAGGTTTAAAAAAGAAAAGGCTTACTTTTTCACAGGTACAGTTTCAACACTATAAAATACAAAAAAAAAGGAGATATACAATTATTTTTCTTTACTACTACAGCTCAACCGCTGCATCCCCGATATTTTTACTCTAATATGGATGCTGACTGCAAATTCGGGAGAAACACATATGGAGAAGGAGGTGAGTGAAGTAAAAATGAAGCATACAAGTTCACCAGACAGAGTGAAGGGCAGACTACAGAGTCAAAATGAAAACTAGTCAAAACAGTTATAAAGTAAAGTGCCAAGTCCCCGACACAGAGGAGCTGCAAACGAGAAATAAGAAGGCTGGTTAAGTTAGCTGAGAAGACTAAGCAAGAGGAAAAAATAGTTAAGACGAGCATAAGAAATTCAGTACAAAGAAAACACCTGAACAGGATGACCCAGTACTCAAAAAAAAAATCAAGCTCATCAGAGCTCATCTTCAGCAGCTCTTTGAAAGCAGCACCCCTGGGAAAATGATCCCCAGCCTCTGTGGAAACTCGCCTACTTACTCATCATACACGTCCTCCGAGTCCATCCGACGATAGTACTTGGCCAACTTGACAGCAAATATGATCGCCGGAAGTAAAAATATGGTAGCTTCCCCTATGCCAAACCAAAACAAATTCTAGGGAAAAAAAGAAAATCAGGAGGATTAAATGCTTGAAGATGGGAAATGGAAAACAACAGTTGCTTGTGGGAAATAATTTTATTTTGCAATTTTTTTAATGAGTTCTAATTTTGTTTATTGAAACCATTTGTGGGCCGGCCCCGTGGCTCGGTGGTTGAGTGCGCGCGCTCCGCTGCTGGCGGCCCGGGTTCGGATCCCGGGGACGCACCGGTGCACTGCTTCTCCGGCCATGCTGGGGCCACGTCCCACATACAGCAACTAGAAGGATGTGCAACTATGACATACAACTATCTACTGGGGCTTTGGGGGGAAAAATAAATAAATAAATAAAATCTTTAAAAAAAAAAACCATTTGTGAATTTAATATGAGCCAGCCACTGTGTGAGGTGTGACCTATTATTATAACTCATTAAATCTTTCTAAAAACCTTGTATAGATCCTATTATTATTATTATATTTATTTTACAAATGAGGAACAAAGGCAGCAGGTAGTGAAGCAAGGTCTGCATCTACGACATTCCAAAACAACCGCGAACCCCCCAACTAGATGGCCTTCCTTTGCTGCCAACCATAAGGGCATGGACGGCCAGCAGGCCCGAGCCCAAATCCCTTTGATGAGTTGTTTTGATGTTAGGGTGACTAATGAAACTTTCTGGCTTTGTTCTGCATTGAACAGTGGAACAGCAGCCTCCTTATCCCAGAACATTATTGAGTGAAGGAGACGGAAGCAATGCTTAGTGCATACTGGGCTCTCAGCAATCGTTCCATGTTTAATTTAACCAATCTTCGAGGTAGATCATAGGCAGAACCCAATCCTGTTTTGTCTAAAAAGCAATGTTAAGGTACTTTTTTTAAATAGTTGCCAATATTCATAAGTCAGATTTCACATAGAAACCTGGATTTATGTCTTTTCTTGGAGAGTCTGGAGTTCGATCTCATAATGCTGAGCCCTAGTTCTCACAAGGCAACATCAACTGCAGCTCAGTGGGGGTTCTTCCTTCAAGAGGGGCATCTGTCCTCAGTTTGCCACAAGCCACATCACTAGCTTTTGCAGGGGTAACATCCAACATTATTTAACCTTATCCACCAATGAGAACAGACAAAGCTGTGCACAATCAGCATGACCTTGTGGGTACCAGACGCCGGCCAGCATCTTACACTTGGCCTGGTTTGTAAATCTACAACCTGCCAGGTTGCTGTAGAAGTTCAAATCTGTGGCCTCTGCCTTAGGATAATGCTGTAAGTAACACTAGAGCAGCCCTCCCCACCCTACAGTGACAAAAGGTAGCTTGAATATAACAACAACCGCCCAGACCTCACGGTTCAGCCACTGCATTTCTGCTTTGCTCCTGGCCCGGTTTAGTGTTGAATGGCAGTGGCACCTCTTCACCCAGAATTTCCAGTAAATTTGTGATCCTTTCCCCTCACATTCTTTTATTGGTAGATTTCTATGCTTTCAACCTTGTTTTGAGACGCTTTAGAGCATTATGACAACTGTATCCTTTTACTGGAAGCTGCCTTAATCCTTTGGGGAACAATCAAGATAGAAAAGAACATGTTAGTCAGCCTGGAGTCTATTTTCCTGGCGAAGTCAATGCTCAGAGCTCTTCCTTACTATTTAAACCACCTACTATAATGCTCTAGCCTATAATCTTCCTGACAAGCCTCCAGGCCATCCCTCCATAGGTCCCTGATTATTTGTGGAGAGGCATCTGGTAATTGGGTGGTTTTATTGGCTGGGGGTAGGCAGTGAAGACTGGATGCAAGGGGATCAATTGAGAATCAACCAGGCTAACCTAGGACTTCCCTAACAAGGGATTCAACCAAAGCTATCAGCAGGGGCTCCACGCAGTAGGACAGAAGGGGTAAGAAGTTAGAAGAGGAGGGAAGCAGCCAGGAAGCCAAGGCGTGGGGTCTGTACGGCTGGAAAAGTGGCAGGATTGTTTCCTTTCAGGTACACAAGTCCATCCCGCAGACAGATGGACATGTGGACATGGGACAGGGAGATGAATGGATAGAGCAATACCTGTTCACTGTGAAAGCTATCTGATTATCCTTTATTCATTCAGTTGCCTGTGCCAGGCAATATGCCAGATGACAGGGAAGCAACAGTGAACACTGTTGGCTCTGTGCTCATGGAGTTTAGAGTCTAATGTATGTCATGGGGAACCACACAAATGTATAATTCAAACAGCAATAACATCTCTAAAGGAAAAGCATTGAGTTCCATGGGAGTGTAGAAAAGGGAGCCCAATCTAGTTGAGAAGATCAGAAAAGATTTCCTAGAAAAAAAGATATGTTTGATCTAAGACCTGAAAACTGAACAACAGCCAATAATAGCGAACATTTATTGAGTTATGTTAATGTACTGGGAATGATGTTAAGGGCTTTACATGTTAATCGCTCACTGAATCATCAAAACAACCCAATTACATGACGAAGCTCAGAAAAGTTCAATACTTGTTCAAAGTCATAGAGTTCAGAAAATGTAGAAGTGGGATTTGAATTTGAACTCAGAGTCTGTGTTCTCAACCATTATATTAGAGGAGGTAACTGAGCGGGGTTGTGGGTGTGGAGGGGAAGAATGAGAGAGAAGGAGGAAGAGCATGTGTCCAGAATAGAGCTGAGGAATAAACTTGATTAATTGTAACTTACCACCCCAATGGTAACATCTCAAAGGGCTTTTTTTTTTTTTTGTGAGGAAGATCAGCCCTGAGCTAACATCTGATGCCAATCCTCCTCTTT